GGTATAACGAATGCGACAATGCCATTAGAAGGTCAGAAATAGTTCCTGGAACTTACGAATATACAACTGCTGTTTCTTATGGAAATGTAGGTGAGTTTGGTGAAGGTTCTTCAACAACAGTAGATATTGCTTGCGACAGGTTTCATATAATTTCTATTGACAACTCATTCTTATACGTGGAACAAGACATTGAAATAAAACCTTCTGCCAAGTTGTCTGACAAGAAAGGTTGCAATGGAATTTTCTATGTCGGATACCAATATGCTCCAGAAGTTTTCATGGGATATAAGATATATTCTAACTCTGACTTAGTTCAAACAGTAACATGGGCAAACTATGAATGGTTCGCTTTGAGAAACTCAGTACAACCACAAGCTAGAGAACAAACAGACCAATATGCAACTATTGAGAAAATAAGAAGACTTGACCCTAACGTTCCAGGAGTTTATGTTAACCTTTCTGGACAAACTGCAGCAGCAGTAACTAAAGTAAAACTGAAACTTAGAGTTCCTTTGTCATCTTTCCTCATCTTCAGGTTTTTAAGATACTTGCCAAACTGGGCAGGAAAAATTTCTATTGAACTTACTCCAAGCAAAAATAACTTAGTCATTGCACCAACACAAGACCCATTCACTATTACAGACGTAGAGGGAACAAATCAATCATTCGCCGAATTTTGCAAAGACAAAGTTGACTTAGACTTTGGTTTCTCAAACCTCAACACTGAAGTAAACTATTATTTCAATGCTGCTGGAACTGCTTGGGACCCAGTTAAGTTCACATGCGAAAAGTTTGAATGCAAGAGAATAGAAAGCAGACTTGCAGTCTATATGTTGGACCCAGATATTTCAAATGCTTTAGCTGCCAAATATATTGCAGTTCCACTTATGTTCCCTATACACCAAATATCTGTCAAAGACTTTGCAGGTGAAGTTGGAAACCAAAGTGCTGACCCAGGTGCAAGAACAGATATTGCTTTAACAACTGCAATGAAACATGCAGATACTATGTTTGTACTGTTCAGACGAACTATAAATGACTATTCTTGTTTCTACAACCCGGTATTAAATATCATATAAACATAGATGGCAAATATTATCCAAGAGAAGAATATTCTACAGTTGAGGATATGAGGTCATACAACTTGACATTAGATGCTATGAACTTTAACAACAACTTCACAACAACCATTAACCCTGAAATGCAAAGTTCTATTATGCCATATGTGAAAGTATGGACTCATACAGGAGGTCAAAAAACTCAATATACAAATGGAGACCGTTCAAACTTTTGGCTTGGCATTCCATTTGCTGACTCAGAAGACTTTATGGGTGGTATTTCAACTGTTGGTACTGTACAAATACAATATACTGGTGACAGAGACGGTCCAGATGAATTGAAAGCAAAGAAGTTTACAAAACCAATAGCACTTTTCACGGAAGATGCTCTTTTGAAGATTCGTTCGATGAAACCTGCTGGGGCTCCTCAGATTGGCATAACGACAGCTTCCATCGAGCAGATTTTGGCAGCAGGTCAGTAAGTTGTTCTTGAACTGACTTCTCTCCGTCAAATATTGACAGTACGCCAGTTTTGACATAAAATTGTATTATAAACTTACCTTTAGAAATATCTGTAAGTTTTGTTGTTATATTTTTGTCTGCTTCAAGAACTTTCACCATTTCAGTTATACCAACTTTCTTTGCTTTATGAAAATATTTTGGTTCAGCAAAGACTGCTATTCTATAACATTTTCCATTGTTTGTATAAAGAACTATTCTGTCAATGTATTTGTATTGTTTGTGTGTGTAAACTTTGTTCTGCTTCAATTCGAAGAGATACTCGAATACGTCCATCTTTTTATTCTAAGTAAAATGTCATTTCCGAAAAATAGAAGCGTAAGTGTTTCAAAAGGTTTAATGGCGGTGGCAGATGTGAAGTTAAATTCACCAACTCAAACAAACAGTCAAAATGTTATTGTCAATGTCAAAGAAAGAGATGTTGAAGTGGGGAAACCATACGAAGACGAAGATGGTATAACAATTGTTCCTGTAAAAGAACAACCAACATACCCTGAAGTTAGCAGAGACTTAAGTTCTGTTGCAGATATTCGAAACGACTACCAACAACTGAAAACAAACTTCAAACTCAGGAGAAGATTTGTCAAGCTTTAGGTATAATGTTAAACTTGGTCGAACACAACCCTGTAAAAGTGAACTCATATGTCATTGCACCTCATGAAGTTTTGAAAGAACTATTGAAACTTTTGACAGAGGCAGACGATATAAACATCAAAGAAATAGAACCCGACGTTAGTTGCTGTGGTGTTTATATAATGTCATTGACAAGATATACGTTATGAAAGGAGGTGAAACGTTGAACTTAAAATATAGTTTCCCAGACGTTATAAAAATATTTGACGACCACAACATTTCATTAAAATTTATTTGCTAAGTAAAATGGCAGAAGACACAATGGTTTATACTATTACGACTAAAAACCCTGAGTCATATAATTCTATAACAACAAACTTACAAAGTCCTCAAGGACGATATTGTAAACTAACCTTAAACACAATGACGACTAAAGCTTGTTTTGCTCTTTTGACACCAGAAGATTTTATTGTTGTGAATGGTAAAAAATACTCCTTTGAAGATACTTACTCAGATATACCACCAACAGGTTTTGTTGACTTATTTAATACTTTAAGGACGAGTGTAACATGTGCTGCAACTAGAGCAGGTTTCATTATGTTTGGATGTCCGACTGAGTTTACTATAAACAATATGAGCTATAATACAAAACTTATATCTGGTTTTTACTACCAACAGTTTCCTATAACAGGAAAAGGTGTCATACAAGGAATGTCTGTTCCATTGACTTTAAGTACACCTATTTTATATATTGTTTCAACTTAGGTTCAAAGTGTTATTCGAATGTCGACAGAAACTACTATGACCAAAAGATACTTATGCGTATAAATAATACTTTCTCTGCTGGTTTGCCTATTGTTCATTCGAATGCAGAGTTTTCAGCTTTAGTAAACTCAAACACTTTAGCAAACATAAACTTAACCTTAGTTGACGCAAACTTTGTTCCTGTAAAACTTTTATGTCCTATGTATTTGTCAATGACGGCAGAAAGTTTCGAATTGGAAGATGCAACTGGTGAAAGTATTGTATTACAAGAACAACTTCAACAACAAATAGCTCAAGAACAACAAATAGCTCAAGAACAACAAATGCAACAAATAGCTCAAGAATAAAAAAAATATTTTTTTTTATTTTTATAAAAATGTACAGAATAGATGTTTCAGATTTTTATGACTTCCAAGCGTTCAGAAATATGTGTCCATTTCGAGACTATAACAAAGCAGTCGAGAATTTGAAACGTTTAGTCATTTATGTCGACTCTGCCCCAGAATGTTATGTTATGAAAGAATGGGATGTAGTCTTTAACAAACCAAGAGCAACAATAGTTTCAGAACAAGAATGTAGACAGAAACTTAAGAAAATAAAAGTTGTACAAGTTGGCATGAAGATGTTAGATGCTTGGGATATCTTATTGTCAAAGTTAGAAGATTTTTCAGTTCGTGGTATAAAAGTTTTATACACCTTCTCCAAACTTCTATTCTATCTTCACTGGATATAAATATGAACAAGTAGAATGGAAAGAAAATAATAGAAGCTTGGTTAGACCATGTCAAAGAAATTATATGCAATGGAAACGAAAGAGTCTATGAGTATATCTTATGTTGGTTTGCAAACATCTTACAACATCCAAGTGCTAAAAATGAAACTGCTCTCATTATAATTGGAAAACAAGGAACAGGTAAGAACACTTTCTTTACAGATATCTTTGCAAACTGTTAGAAGGTTATTCGAACCCGAATATGACAAACTTAGAAAACATCTGCGGTAATTTAACTCTTCAATAGAGAATATGAAACTTATAGTATGTAACGAACTTCAAAGTATAGATACAACAAAAGTTTTTGAACTCAGATGCTTTGAAGAGTCTTATAACAGACAAAGTTGGAGTTGTTGAAAGAAAATATAAAGACCAAAGAGTTTGTGAAAATGTTGCAAACTTCGTTATGGTTTCAAACAATGCTGTTCCGATGAAGTTAGAAAGTTCTGACAGAAGATATGTAGTTGTCAGAACGTCAGAAGCTCATATGCAAGATACAGAATATTTTGACGACTTAGCAGAAACTTTGACATCTGACTTTTACAACCACTTGTTCTCATATTTTATGACATTAGATATTTCAAAGTTCAATCCAAGACAAATTCCACATACCGAAGAGAGACAAACATTGTTAGAAGCAAACAAGAGTGTATATGAACTGTTCATAGATGAAACTGACTTTGAGTGTTTAGATGAAAGGTCATTGTACGATTCGTATAAACAATATTGTCAAGAGTATGGTTATATGACAGCGTCTAAACGAACATTCTTGGCAAATGTCAAAAGTCTTTTAGATGTTCAGAATGGTGTATATACAAAGAAAAATTTTTCTGAGTAAATTTTTAAAAAAAATATTTTTTTTTATCCGATAGAAAAGATGACAAAATTCATCTCAGTAAACAAGTACATGTCAGGACTTAAAGAAGAACTAGACCCATTCACATATTTGAATGTTTACTTCTACCATTTTGAAAAGTCTTCATTCAGCAAAGTTTGGAACATCGAACCAGTTAAGTTTGCTGTTGTGACTAAAAATGGTGCGAAATTTGAAGACTTAGACATAGAAGGTTTGTTAGCAGTCAAAGAAAGTTTTGACAGAAGGTTCTCAAAACTCGAAGAAGGTAAAGCATACAAACTTGTTATACCTTATGAACCAAAGAAAGCAGACGACTATGAATATTATGAGTCTAAAGTTGTAGAAGTTCAAGGTAAATTGGGTAAACAGCTATTAGAGTCTAAGCCAGTGTTTACTCCTAAAGAGGAAGAGAACATTGACATTGACCCAGAAATGTTCTAAAAATAAAATTTTATTTTTACATGTCATATCTCCCCTTCTCTGGAACTGGTTCAGGTTCTTTCTTCTCTTCTTCTACTTTCTTTTCTTTCTTTTCTCTCTTCTTCTTTTCTGGTGGAGTTATGTCAAACTTCTCAGAACCATATTTTTGTAAAAGTTCTTTGTCCTTTAATAGCTCTTCTATTCTGTTTTCTATTTCATCTTCAAGAACAGTGCATGTGTCTTCTTTGCATTCTAAGAAGTTTTGTTGGACTTCATCTCTCCAAGAGGCGTCATCTCTGTCAACAAGTCTGTCATTGACAAATTTTAAGACTTCTCTGCTTAATGTTTTATGGTTTTGTCATATTCCCAGAAACAGAACTTTAGAACAAATTCACCTTTCTTGTTTACACTATGTAAGATTTTATGGTCGACAGATGTTTTGCTGTCGAAAAGCTTGTCTCGAATATAGATGGCGAAATCGCTAGACATTTTCTAAAAGATAAAAATTTTAATTTTTCTAAAAATATGTTAGAAAAAAAGTTTGCTGACATTGACAAAAAATTTGAGAATGTTTTAAACAAGAACAAGGTGAAATTAGAAAATGCTCAGATAAAACCATACATGACAAGTTCTTATTTGCTCAGAATGGTATAAAGGTCTAATTGCACCACCTGGGTCGGGTAAGACTTTCACTTATCTTAAAATGGCTGCACAACAACAAGAACTAGATGAGAAGAACCCATTCTATGAGTTAGTTGTCATTTGTAGTACTTCGGGTCAATTTGACCAAACCGTCAATTCGTTCAAAAGATATTATAAAGAAGTCTAAGTTAGTATGTATAAAAGACTCTGAGTTGTTAGATTGGATAAAGAAGTACCAAAGAAGGGTTTTGAAGTACAATGCTATAAATGAGTATATAAATTCGAAGTTTAAAGACCCAAATGAGGAAATGCAGAGAATATTAGAGAAGAAACACTTCAGAAACAAACAGAAAGAGATAGAATACATTTCGAAGAAATTGCAATCTTACGATTGGAAGACTTACCCTCATAGATGTCTTCTTATCTTAGATGACTTTGCTTCTCATCCTTTGTTAAAGAATAGAGAACAAGACATGTGTCGAATTCTTAAGAAGCTCAGACACTTTAACATCTCAGTTGTCATTTGTGTACAGACAGCAAGAGTTTAAGTAAGGATGTAAAGAGAATACTTACTGACATTGTACTTTTCCCGGATTGTCCGAAGACGATTTCATGGAACTTATGAAAGAGTCCATGGCAGGTAAGTTTGACAGACATGAACTATGGGAGAAGTACAAAGTCATACAAGACCCTCATACTTCTTTCAGAATTCATATCTACGCAAACAAAGTTCAAATTGTAAAAAGTCAAGCTTGAAAAATGTAAGTGTTTAGTCTTAGTCAGTCTGTTGTGGTGCTGGGGCTGTCGGTTCTTCTGGCTTTGGAATGGACTCGGTTGGTGGTACGTCGGACATTCGTTTGTGTCCTGTCGGAAGGAAGAACTTTTCCTGTTGGAAGGAAAAACTTTTCCAGTTGTCGGGAAATTTTTTTCCAGTTGTCGGGAAATTTTTTTCCTGTCTGAAGGAAAAATTTTTTCTGTCGTTCGACCAAAAAGTTCTCAATTTTTCGAAAATTTGAATGGTTTACGGACGAACAACAGGAAATTTTTTTCCAGTTGTCGGGAAATTTTTTTCCAGTTGTCGGGAAATTTTTTTCCAGTTGTCGGGAAATTTTTTTCCAGTTGTCGGGAAGAACTTGGAATGTCGGAAGGAAGAACTTGGAATGTCGGAAGGAAGGACTTGGAATGTCGGATGGAAGGACTCGGAATGCCAGAAGGATTTGACAAGACAATTGACCTTATAGAGCTACCTGAGCCATCTGAAGTCAAGCGTAAAAATAAATGGTTCATTTACTCTACTTGTTTAAAGTTGTCAAAATACTCTGTTATTTTTTCTTTCAGTAGCGGCAAATCTTCTTTGAAGGTAAGTATTGTACAACCTTTAATATCATAGTGTGTTTGAGGTAACGTATCTTGAACTATTTGTTTCACATCTTCATTTGGTGTCATGAAATCGGTAAGTTTTCGCGATAGAACCAATTTCTGTCAGATTTGTAAATCTTAGCAAGGTCGTAAAAGCTTTTGTTGTTTCTTCTGACTAAATGCAACATAACCATATCTCTGTCTTCTTCATTTTCCATCTCTTCAGTATAAATCATATACTTATAGTTCTTTTCCTTTCCTTTTGGTACCGAACGTGGTATTCTTTTCTGAATGTTTTTGTCTTCTTTCATCATATCTTCTCTCTGCTTTGTACAAAGTTCGTCAAGTAGCATAAGTATGTAGATTGCATAACGAGGTGAAGCCCACATTGCTATTGAACTAACTAGGAATTATGAACATATATACCTTTTAGATGTGATGGTAAGTTTTGTCTGTCTTGGTACATCTTTTTAAGTTCTACATGTTCAAACTCACTGAGGAGTTCATGAGTGCTATCTAATTCAAACCAGTCTTGTGGTTTCTTAGTATCTGGTGCAAAACATGCTGTCAAAATACTTTGCATTTGGTACATATCGTCTTTGACCGAACGAATGAGACGTAACTGTTTGTTAAACTGTATGTACTCATATTCTTCATTTATGTCTTCATGAACGATAGCAGTTGTTGTGTTCTCTGTTGTTGTCATATCTGTTCTTACATACAAAATAAAAAAAATATTTTATAAAAAATTAGCGTTATTTCCTGACTTTCACAAAAGACCAAAAATAAACGCTTTACATGTATTTTTCAGCAACTTCGTCAAATAATTTTATAGCTTTACCTATCTCATCTACTTCAAACGTTTCTTTACCTTTCGTGGGAGCACCATACATTTTCTCAAACTTTTCAAGTAGTTCTGTTTCAGCAGCTCTCATATCGTTAACAAACACAACCTTAACTCTATTGACTATACTGTCATATCTTTGAGTTATATTATATGTTCTTCCTATCTTATATCTTTTTGTATTGAAGTCCTTCGGTTTCTGAACGATGTAAAGTAAGCCTTCACTGCAACGTTCAGTATCGAATGAACCATATGTTATGAAGTTATATCCAACAACTGGGTCTAACCATAACAAAACTATTGGTATAAGACTTTTGTCTATAAGATATGCTGTAGTTCCATAGAATCTTACCGATATCATAAGCTCAGGATTTCTTGTCAAAATTTTCTGAGTTGAAGCAATTCCAACCCAGTCGATTGCTCTCTTTCCAGATGGAGATAAAATGTCTGACAAAGAATATTTCTTGTATTTCTTTGAGTATCTTACGTTTAAATCACCAATTCTAACCACTTTGGTGTCATTGTCTATCTTTTTAACTGTTTCAAACTCAATGTTTGTCATTTTCTGTTTCTTACATACAAAATAAAAAATATTTTTTTAAAAAAACTAACTTTATTTTTTCTATCTTGTATAAAAGATATGATTTCAGGGATTTTTTTGACGAAGTGTCAAAGTTCTCTTCGTCAAAAATAACAGTTATATAATGAAATTTGGTCATTTTTTCACGATTTCAGGGATTTTTTTACGAAGTGTCAAAGTTCTCTTCGTAAAAAAATAACAGTTATATAATGAAATTTGGTCATTTTTTCACGATTTCAGGGATTTTTTTACGAAGTGTCAAAGTTCTCTTCGTAAAAAAATAACAGTTATATAATGAAATTTGGTCATTTTTTCACGATTTCAGGGATTTTTTTACGAAGTGTCAAAGTTCTCTTCGTAAAAAAATAACAGTTATATAATGAAATTTGGTCATTTTTCACGATTTTCATGAGTTTTATGCAAGACCAAAAAAGTCGTCTAGAGAAATTTTTTCATTTATCTTTGTATAAAAGATATGATTTCAGGGATTTTTTTTACGAAGTGTCAAAGTTCTCTTCGTAAAAAATAACAGTATATAATGAAAATTTGGTCATTTTTCACGATTTTCATGAGTTTTATGCAAGACCAAAAAAAGTCGGTCTAGAGAAATTTTTTCATTTATCTTGTATAAAAGATATATTTCAAGGATTTTTTTACGAAGTGTCAAAGTTCTCTTCGTAAAAAAATAACAGTTATATAATGAAATTTGGTCATTTTTTTTCACGATTTTAGGGTAGATGGTTTTAGGTGTCACCAGGTCCTCGGTCCCTCGGTCCCTCGGTCAACTAACATCTTTTTGAAAATGGTGACAACATGACATTTTGACAACACACAGGAAATAAACTTCTTCGTATATGTTTCACAAGCGTTTTACATGGTATATGTTTGATGGTTCATGACTTTAAACAGTTTTGTAGCTTCTATTTCTTCACGAAGGATATCAAAAGTTTTAACAATGCCGAAGGTTTCTTTATATTTTTCTTGACATCAGATAGAAGGAAATCGTCAGCTGTTGGATAGTTTTTTGTTCAGAAATGTCAACATGTCCATTTTATCTTCTGCTGGTTTCTCTACTTCTTTTCTTTAAGTCAGCATAGGTTTCTCATACGTTCTATCTCTTTGACGGAGTAGTTATATTTCTTCATTGCTGCTTTACATTTTGAACATTGTGGGTTCATTTTAGCATTGTACATTGAAACCTTACCTGCTAAACAACTAAGGCGTAAATGGTTTTCTTTAACTCAAAGTTGCGGGTTTTATTTGTCCGTTCCATACTTTACCTCTTCTATCTTTATCTCTTATCTGCCATACACATTTTGCAACTAACGAAACAAAGTTGTCGTAGGTCTTAAATTCTTCAGATTTATATATGTCAAATGAATATACCATGTCGCAGTCTTTGTCCATGACTTTGTGGTTGCAATGAAATCCAAAAACTCATAGTTTACCTTACGTATGAACTTCTTTATTTCTACTGAGTCAGTTGCTTTGACTTCAATTTCATCGAATTCAGAATAGTGAGCTTTTGTTGTTGTATTTCAGGAAGTTTAGGTAGATGTTCCACCAGGTCCTGCATTTCATTAAAGATACTGTTCATTTGTTATTCTTTCGCACTACAGTCTAAATCTCCTTGGAGAAGTTCCTGCTTTATCTCTGGATTTCTGTTTCGAAAGTATATGAAGAAGGAATGAAGCTTTTCATTTCTACTAACATAGATGTGGGGTTCATGACTAAAGAGTTTGGTGCTGTTGTTGCTAACATGTTCTTACAATAAAAATAAAAAATATTTTTTTAAAAAAACTAACTTTATTTTTTATGTTTTTTGTGAAAGTGTCAAAATTCATGAGTTTTGGTTGAAAAATACGGTGGAGCCAAAAGTGGCTCGACCTCAAAACAAGCATTTTGTGAAGAATATACCAACCGCCGGAAAACAGCGGGTTGCTTTTTATACAAAATTCAACGGGTGACAAAACATATACGAAGAAGTCATGACAAAACATGTACGAAGAAGAAGTTTATTTCCTGGACTGTTGTCAAAATGTCATGTTGTCACACTTTTTCAGAGAAGTTAAAATGACCGAGGGACCGAGGGACCGAGGGACCTGGTGACACCTTCAGTTCTTCAAAACATTTACGAAGAAGTCTTGACAAAACATGTACGATGAAGTCATGACAAAACATGTACGAAGAAGTCTTGACAAAACATGTACGATGAAGAAGTCTTGACAAAACATGTACGATGAAGTCATGACAAAACATGTACGAAGAAGTCTTGACAAAACATGTACGATGAAGAAGTCTTGACAAAACATGTACGATGAAGTCATGACAAAACATGTACGATGAAGTCATGACAAAACATGTACGATGAAGAAGTCTTGACATTTTCCTGGACTGTTGTCAAATGTCATGTTGTCACCCATTTTCAAAAAGATGTTAGTTGACCGAGGACCGAGGGACCTGGTGACACCTAAAAACCATCTACCCTAAAATATATTTTTCAATACTTTTTCAGCACTTTTCCGTAGTTATATATGAAAGACAATTCGAGATAAAAGTATAGCATTAGTCAATGGTATTATATGTTGCACACCATTTTTGTGAACCAAAACTTGAAAGTCAGAGAAACTGTTACTAGTGGTTCGTAGAATTTAGAAGCAAAGTCATAAACGTCCTTACCAATACATAGAAAACTATTGTTGCTTGAACTGAAAACTTGCATGACACATAACATTTTGAGGGTCAAACACATTTTCTATAAACTGTCAAATCTGCTGGTGGAAGTATAAATTTAAATGGACCATCTGGTGGTAATGGTTCGTTCTGGTTTAGTAACCGAAGAAATTGTGCCCAAGAACGTTTGTCTACTTTCCAAAATAAAAACTCTGTATCTCTTGGAGGGTTAATTTCAATCTTTTGAAATGAAACGGTGGAGTTCATCTTGTCATATTCTAGTTTCAGATAGTATGTTCCATTTAGTAAAGAGTCGTATTTTTCTTGAAATTCCCAATAGTATTTGTTCATTTGAGTTTGAAAGTCATTTAGAGTTTTCTCAAGACTTTCGTCTGACGAACTGTAAAGATTCTCATTTCATCAAATTTGTCTATTAGACCATCAGAACCTTTATACTGCCCATGAAAATATACTGCGAACATAAACGCGTTAGTTCTATTTGAAAACAAAACTCTTCTAAATCCTATTGCCTTTGCATCTGAAGGACTTTGAAGCCAACGAATTGGATAGTCAAACCTGTATGAACGGGATGAAATTTCTTCATATGAAATAGTCCTACCAGCATTTGTAAAGATATAGTCTAACGGTTTTGTATCTGCTACTTTTGTTCTTTGTTTTTCAACCTGAAGCATTTAATATATGTAAAAATATATGGTTTAAAAAACGTTTTTACTTCATGCAATTTTTTACTTCATGCAATGTTTTATTTCTGTGCCGTCTTCAAGTATGCCCCAGTACTTACGCTTGGAGAGGACATGAACTTCGGTGAAAATTTTGTCCAATTTGAATCGACCCATCTTTTCACCGACCATACCCATTTCAATGAGTTTGTTGTATCCTTCTTCGTTCGTCATAAGTGCGTCAATGTTCTCATAGTAAACCACAACTTTGGATTTGACTTCGGAGAAGAACTCATTGTAGTTGTCAAGGACTGCCTTTTCCGAACAATGTACCTTGTCTTCACACATGACTCAAGATACTTCATCTTCTCATCTGTAACAAGACCAGAGTTCCTGAGACATGTAAAAATATATGGTTTAAAATGGTATGCCATATAGCTTCTTGAATTTGTTAAGAAGTATTCGAACGTGTTTTCCATCTGTATCTCTAGTGTTTACATAAGCATAGCCTTCCTTAGTAAAATATACTTGTAATTTCCTATAGTTTACGCCGGTATAAAAGTAGAAAGAGTCTTGTTCTTCGCTATAGTAGTAAAACTCAAACGTATGCTTGCCATAGTCTGTAATTTCAATTGTTTCATCTTCTAGTTCGTCGACAAATTCGAATACAATATCTCCAAATTTGCCTTTGTTCTTATTGTTTTCAGAACGAGTGACCCAACGTAAGTTTTCAAGTCTATTGTCGTTTCTTATATGGTTTATATGGTCTACAAAAGGTAAATTGTTAGGATTCAGTATAAAATGAGTTGCAATGACAACATGTTTAAGATAGCGTTTCCCACCCATCTTCATAATAGCATATCCGTCATTTCGCTCCCATTCGCTTAAAACTCTTTTTGTCTTTTTGTTTCTGACTTCAAATGACTCACAACAGTGAATTTCATATTTCTCATCTAACAAACAAGTTTCCCAACGGTCTTCTCCAACAAACTCAGCGTACATTTCAAATAAAATAAAAAATATTTTTTTAAAAATATATTGTTTTAAAATGGTATGCCATTTCATATTTCTCATCTAACAAACAAGTTTCCCAACGGTCTTCTCCAACAAACTCAGCGTACAGTTCAAATAAAATAAAAAAATATTTTTCTCTTTACTTTACATAACCGCCTGCTGCCATAAGTCTTTGACGCCAACCCATACCAGCTAATGAAGGTTGACTTGGTTTAGTTTGGAAACTAAACTTTGGTTTTGGTTTATCTTCAGTTTTTGGTTTCTCTTCTTCTATCGGTTTTTCGTCACTTTTCGGTTCCTTTGACTTTACCTCACCTGCAGGAACAGTTGTGTCGTCAACATCTTCATAAATATCATATGCCATTTGTGTTTGTTTTCCTTTCAACTTTTTGTGTTTGTTGTAAAGTTTAGAATATTTCGACTCTAAGTCAATGAGATGTTCTATAATGAACTGTTGGTCAGTGAAGTAAACTTTTCCATCTGTTGTCTCGAAAGCTCCTTCAGACTTCAATATTTTATTTGTGAGAGTCTGTTTCTTTTTTGAGATACTTGCCGTTCCATTTTTATGAAAAGTGACTTTGTAGTTAGGGTTTGTATTTCCAGACCTGGCACTTTCTATTATTGAATTTTTCTCTTCATCTGTAAGTTCTTTGACAGGTTTTACAATGGTTCTGAACTTTTTGTTTGTGGTGTCAAATCTACCGTTTCAACTTCTTCGGTCATTTCATCTCAGTAAAAATTTTAGTTTGGTTTGTTTTCAACTGGTTGTTGTTGTTTTTTAAGTCGGTCTAAAACTTCCTGAGGTATAGGAAGAACTTGACAAACACGTTGTGTAACTGCTGGAAGTCGACAAATCCATCTTGAACCCATTTGTCTCAATGCTGTATTGTTCATTTCATCTCAGTAAAAAACTTTACATTCCCCACGTTTGAGGCGGTTGAGGTTGGTTATTGTTTACCCATTGTTGTGCATGGTTATATCCTCTGTTAAAGAATCTTTCACCTTGGTCCATATAGTGTCCTGCTTGGTTATAGTAGTCATTTGCTTTGTTATAATAGTTTCCTGCTTGTCTTCCTACATTGTCCATCCATCCTTGAACTTTTCCTCTTGTTTCAGGATTTGGAATAAGATTTGTTGCATCTCGTGCTACCTCCCAACCTTTCTGTACAGTTTGTATAATAGGTTGTGCTTTCTCTTTCAGTATACCTAATGTACTCAAAATCTTCCTTCCAACTCCAAATACACCTCTGGCTATTGTTCCCACTGCGGGTAAAAATCTGGATGCAACTCCTGCTAACGCGCCAAATAAACCCATTTCTTATGGGTTAAAAAATGACGAATCCAAACAAGGACCCCTATGTTTCTAAAGCGACAAAGAAAGCACTCATGGTAAAAATCTTTAGTTCAACACCAAATGCTTGGTTTATGGATATCTTGGAAAACATTCCGAGGTATAGAGAAGATGGACCTCCATACTGGCTAATATTTGTCGGTCAAAACACAAGATACTGTGAAGCCATACCATTACAGTCCAAAAATATTTTAGATGTGAAAACTGCTTTGACAATATTCGTTGACAAATACCATCCAACAAAACTGACATCTGACTGTGAAAGTTCTTTCAAATCAGACGATGTAAAAAACTATCTGCGTTCAAAAAATGTAAACCAATATTTCATTGTCGACCAAAACCATTCTGCTCTTGGTGTCATTGACGGTTGTATAAAAATGTTAAGAGACTTAAACCAACCACAAGGTGGTGAAGCAAATGAAATGTCATATGACGACAAATATAGACACTTCTCCATGGCAAAGATGAGACAAGTTTTAAATATTTACAATAGCCGTAAACAAAAAGGTTTGGGAAACCATTCCCCGAAGAAATGAAAAACAACCCTGACTTAGAGAAAGACTATATATTTAATAATTTAGTCAAAAGAGACAAACAAAGCAAGAATGCCGGGCTTCAAACTTCAGAAAGGTGACAAAGTAAAAATAGAAATACCTAAACGCGACCCATATGAAAATACTATTGACTATGACAACAATGGGAACCCGACAGGTACTCACATTCGTGTTCGTAAAAATAAGAAAGAGTATACAAGAGAATATTATGAAGTTTTAGGCAAACATGGCAAAATGTACACACTGCAAGCAGAAGATAAAAACTACTATTGCCAGACCTCGTTTCAAACTTGTTAAGGTTCAAGGTGGTATACTTTCAAAGACAGTTCCTACAAATATAAGACAACTCCTGACGAATATGCTAAAGAAGTTGAAAATGACGACTAAGCATTTCTATACCATGCGTAAACTGTCATGTAAGGTGGCATGTAGTCTTACTTTGTCCGTTGTTTGCGTATACCTGAAACGCGATGTGTATGGTTTCCATCTCCCTGAGTGTTACCCCAGAAACAATTTATAGCAAACTGAACGTCGTCTTTAACATCATATCCTTTACCTTTTTTCATTGCTGACCAATCCAAAATCTATGCTTATGCCAACCTGCTTGAGATGTACTTAAATCTATGTAGTGACTGTGTGCAGGTAAGTTTTCACCTGAAATCGTTTTACTTCCACCTGTTTCCTTTGAAGAGTTTGCACAATACAAAACCTGTCGACTATTTGAGTCCAAGTTCCAAAACCAAGTACTACTTCTGGTCTGGTAGAGTTCATTGACGTAATAAATAGAGCCAACCGGGTAAATGATTCGGCAAAATTTGTTTAAGCACATTGAGTTCCTGTCTTAGATGTATAATACTATTGTCATTAGATATCAAAGTATCTACAAGACTTGTTGCCGGTGGTATTGTTGGAGCTTTACTTGGCAAGGTTGTGTTTAGTGTAATATCATCTGCTGTAAAAGTTGTAAACTTGTATGTGTATGGTTCTTGTCTGCTTTCTTGTCATATAAATCTTGAGCAGTGAATTTAACGTTATGTTCATCCTTCATGACATAAACATCTTTACATCTAATGTTTCTCATCGTCGTTATGTCGTCATCCGATGTTAAACCTTGTGGAAAGTTAGGAGGTTTACAATATAATGCATCCCCACCAGTTTCTTCAACCGTTCCTTCAATACTTTCTATAGCAACAGTTGTAAAACTTGTATGTGTATGGTTCTTATCTGCTTTCTTTTCAAGGCTAACGTTTAAGTCTGTTATTTCAGAAGATGTATGTGTATGTCCAACGTCCTTTTCCTGTTTAAGGTTTCTTGTAAGTTTGTAATATTTGCAATGGTATGTGTATGTCAACGGCACTTTTACTGTTTTAAGGTTTCTTGTAAGTTTGTAATATTTGCAATGGTATGTATATGTCCAACGTCACTTTTCCTGTTTAAGGTTTCTTGTAAGTCTGTTATTTCAGATATAGAATGTGTATGAGTCTTTTTAGAATATTCGTTTTCAGCTCTTGTCACTTCACTTGACATTTTTTGTCAACATATGTTTTGTCTGCTAGTTCAGGATGAGTATGTTCTTTTGTTGCATAAGCTTTGTCAGCTCTTTCTTCTTCTTTTGCTATTGCATCGTCTACATATGTTTTGTCTGCTTTGTTGTCAACATCTGCTTTCAAAAGAAGTTCTTTTATAGGTTTTCGTTTAAAGTTCCTTTTGTTGGATTTATACAAACAGTATGGTTCTTATTGTCTTGAAATAGAAACTCATCTGTCATTGGGTTTAATGTCAGTTTTAAATTTCCTTCTTTCAATGACTCAGATATCTTAGAATAGTTTGAAAAGTTTGTTGTGTTCTTATTTAGAGCTTGTATAATGAGTTGTCGGTTGTGTTGTATTTCTCTCATAGACGCTGTTTCATTTGACATTTTTATTATAGATAAAATATTGCTTTCAATAGAAAAAGAAATTCAAGAGTTGCTACAACTAAACCATTAGATGAACTTTTTACGAATGTCGGTCAAAAGTTTGAGACAGAGACGTAAAGCATGAACATCGTTTTGACTACCCGTTAAGATGGTTAAGAGACCCATCTGTCACAAAAGCTATTGGCTTTCGTAGAATGAAGTTCATTTCAGAAGCCATACATGGTTTCCCATTTACAGTCGGTTTTGAAGTTCGATACTATAACAAAGAAAAACATACGTATGAGAAATTTGAACAGGAAAACTTTTACAAGTGAATTTGCTTGTAAACTTAGAAACAACTCTTCAAGCTTTTCAAGAAAAAATAAACGACATCTATATCGAATATGCAAACCAGTATAACATTGACGAGGGAGAGTACCATCTCGATATTATATATGACAGGAAAAATGCAACTGTTAAAATCAATAGAATAGAAGACCTTGGAGAAAACGTTTATATTTCTACAAAATATAACAACTTGGCATGGTATAGATTTCTGAGGATGTTAAATCAGCCTGCAGAATATCCAGTACACCCGGACTTTTATGAAGTCGAAAACCCTAATGGAACATATGAAAATGTTTTCGACTCAGATGCTATTATAGTTCATGCTTCATTTTCTGGTGCACAAAACTCTTTTTTATGCTTGGCAAATGACTTTTACGAAAAACCTACAAAGCTATATGAACCACCAAGTGGAAGTATTTCAGACTTTCAAGTATGGTTTACAACAGATGGAAGAAAGAGAATAATTCCATTATACCATGCGTTTTACTTAGAACTTAGTTTCATATACAACTACTATCGAACGGTAAAAATATAATTTTTTAATACGGTTGAGGTGTTGGATTTGGTTGCCAACTAGACTGTGGTGCAGGTTCAGGCTGTTGTATAACAGGAGCTTGTTCTTCTGGTTCAGGGTCTTTAGGTATAATACCAACGAACTGACCTACTCTTTTACCAATATTTTTGACTCCGTTCCAAATTCCTCTTCCGACAGATTTTATTCCATTCCATATACCTCTTCCAACATTTCGAAAGAAGTTTCCAATACTACTGAAGAAACCCATTTTACTATATGTAAAAATCTAATGTCCACCTAGTCTCTTACGTTTCCTGTTGAGTTCCATAGCATTCTTTAACTGGAGCTCATACATTCTGTTTCTCCTCTGGTAGAAAACATATTCTGGGTCAACTCCTGTGTTCGCGTCATCTGCATAAAGTTGTTTATATCCCACTTCGGGGTTTGTATAAAACTCTTTCCATCTCATATTTGCATACCATGGTGGCAAACCTAACGCAGCGTCATTTGACATGGCAGTTTGCATTTGTACATCTGTTGGCACTTGACCATAGTTTGCCATTGCAGTTTGTATTCTAACTTCATTTGGAATATTCTCTGGGTTTGGTTGTCCAGGTTGCTGTGCATTCGCTAAGTTCTGTGCGTCCATTTAATATTAGATAAAAATATCTCTTACGAGTACATATACTGGACATTTGCAGGCATTGGTTCATCTTCATATTCTCTGTACTTTTCTGCCACGTCAAATAAATAAATGACACAATGGAAAAAACCTAAAACAAGTAGTCCTATTTCAAACCACATTTACTTACTAGTAAAATTTCTTTGTTATGACACTTTCTCCAGTTTATAGGACCTCTCTCATATTCTATCTTGTCATATCTAAACTCATAGTCATGTATGTCCTCTAACCATTTCATAACGGTTTCCAAACCACTTTTATCGGATGTAAAGTAAAAGCATGGATGGTTATGTAAAACGTCTAAAGTTTCTAAAGAGTCTCTCAAAGTCCAGTCTACTTGGTATTGAAAATCCCATGTGTTATAGAACGGCGGGTCCACTATAAAGAAAACATTTTCCTTGTCTTTATATTTTTCATACAACTCTGTCCAATGACATCTCACAAACTCTATACCCTCAATATATTTTTCTATGTCCTCTTTGAAAACATTTGTATAGTTAAGATATAAAACGTTTGACATAAGTGTTTCAATGTCATGAACTCTTATAGCACCACTATATAATAGTCTAGCAGATATACTATCCCAGTCTATATATTCTGCTTTTTTCAAAACCTCTCTCACAATATTTTTGTTATCTAATGGTATACGTTCCATCTTACCTATAGGTATCTTTTCTTTTAACTCTTTCAATATATTGTTTGTGTCTGGTATATGTTTGAGACGGTCCATATAGTTGTCGAAGTCATTGCATATAATCTTTGAGTCTGGGAATATTGTATGGCACAAATGGGATATATAGAAACTTCCACCGAACAAATCTACAAATGTTAGACCATTCGGTAGTTTCTTAAGTTCTCTCAATAGAATATCTTTACATCTACTCTTATTTCCAAAGAACGGTAACGGTGGTTTTGTAAAATTCATTTATATATAATAATAAAAATGTTTTTTCCTGAAAAGTGACAGAAAAGTGACAAAACATGAAAACATATATAATTTGTGAAAAGCGAAACAAAAAAGTCAACGGCTGGTCGGCTGGGGTTCGGTCCTCCTCTTGGGTCTTGGGAAAAATTTCTTATGGGCTAGAGGGCACGAAGTGCCTGGAGGCCCATCCCAAGAAAAAAAAAACTTCAGGGCTAGAGGGCGCAACGCGCCTGGAGGCCCCACTACCTTTTTTTTTTTTTTTTTTTTTTATACATGCTTATGCTTAGAATTTCACGTGAATCTAAAGTGTTTTTTTTTTAATATTTCTCAATATCTAGAATATTACTCAATGAGTTTAATCAATATCACGAAAACTGTTGAAATTAGTTTCAAAGAAAAAATAATACTAAAATAAACACTTTATTAATCTATTAATTATTATTATGATTAAAACAATCCAAACTTCCGTATATATCCATCCACATTAGTTCAATTTGTTCCCTATAAATGTGGTCTGGGTAGTTTTTGTACTTGACAATAATATTTTGAACGTAAATATGGCCACAATACCCGTTAATTTTCTTACTCAAGTACTTGTGCATTTCGTGTATTGATCCAAGTATGTTTCTGATTGATTCCATCGAGAGAGGTTCAATTAATCCAACTTTTTTGATAAAAACTTTGAAAACTTTCTGGAGAAAGCTCTTTTGCAGAGGAACAGTCATCTTCGATAGGTATATTCTCGTAAAAACAGCCATTGCATGGAAAATGGCCTGTGAAATCTCTTGATAAAACTGATTCAAGTCTTCCATTGATTCTGGATCAATATCAACGCAAACATAATCCGTAATTATGTTGTTGAATGGTTCATAAGCGTATTCAATGAATGATTCAATGTTTATCTTGTTTTCTTCGTATGCAGCTGCAATTATGTCAGCAACAGCACGAATTACGTATGCAACTGCAACATTCGTGAAACTTGGATCAACAAGGGATAGGGATTTAAGGAAACAATCAAGGCATTGTTTGAAATCTTCGATATAATTTATTCTGAATGGCCCCATTTTAGTGAAGAAGCGAGTAGCTGTTGAGGCGCATTGCATTATTACATTTGGATCGTTGCTTTCCATGCCATCTGTCATGTATTCTAAATATAATTTTGCAAGTTCTTCATTGTAGTTATTTATGATGACTAATGAGGTCAAAATGTCAAGTGATATCTCATATGTAGTGGAAATCCTCATTGTAAACAAGTATTTCAGAATATTAATTAAAATTGTTGAAGTTTCTGGTACTAATCGAATTCCATGCTCCAGAATGTAAGATATGTTCTCTAAATAGCATCCTTGTACCGTTGTAATCTTCTCATCTATTGAATTAAAGGTAGATACCAACATTTCAATTAAAGAATTCAAAACTTTGGGCCAAATGTCCCTGATATCTTTTGTTAGACCCAAAAGATTGTTGATTCCCCTTGAAAAGTTCATAAAAGCAAAAGAAGATTCGACTTCAATTTCGGGCCAAAGCTGCAAAATAGAGAAATATACGGTGAAAAAGTGCTCCCACCCTAGATCTGAGAATATTACGCTTTTAAGTTTGAAATTATTAACTAATTTTAGAAATAAATTTGAAAGATGCATCAAAAAGTATTTTGATCGATCAGGTTTAAATTGGTCTTCAATCCTATTCAATACCAGGTTCGTTATGTCTGTTATATTCCCGAAATCTTCATGTCGGTTGTGATTCGGGATTACTGTGCCTTCAAAGATCTTTCCCATGGTCCAGGCTGCTACGGCTACAATTTGCTGGTCTGTGCTATTAAAGAAAAGGTCAAAAACTATGTTGGTGACTTCAGAATAAACAAAATCAGAAATTGCGTGAATTTTGGAAACAGAATCAGAAGTAATGACTGTTACAAGGTACATGCCAAGGAATAGTGCAAGAAGATTACTTTGGTCATTGAAACAATCTTGAATTACACTTGAAATTATTTGAAAATAATTTTGGAAAAAATTATTGGATATTTTAACAATTAAGAAGGCGTTATACAGTAAATTATATGATTCTTGGAATATCGCATCCGAAATTGACGCTGCACCTCTTTCTCCGAAATTCATAAAAATATTTAAAAATTCTAGGAAGAATTTGTTGGCAACTCCTAATACTTTCTTATGCCTCTCATAAAGAGTGATCTCGTAATTCAGAATCTCATTCCAGACTTGTAAACTGCTGATAATAAAATCTTCATCTTCACAGCTCAATCCTTTCGATGTATACTCAAACACGGCATCTACAAAGTTGTGTGATAAGTCGTAGAAGTGTATAACAAGGCTTGAAAGTATGGAATTCAGATTTTGATATAATTTTAGATTTGGAATGGGAAAAGACTGTGGTAATGCATTCAGAATACTTGTTATTGATTCTTCTGAATTGAATACATCTGTTTCTAGTGAAAGACCTTTCAAAATTGTTTCTGAAATTAAAATTCGAAGTTCGTCGCTGTCTAACTCTGTAACTGGCTTACCAAGAAGATCAACATATGTTGGGTATACTTTGCCAAGTAATTCTGTAAAGCCTGCTGATTTAATTCGAGATTTATAAAATGGAAGATTGAAAATATTGTTTAATAATGTAGAAGATATCAATAAACTCTTGAGTGAATCGAATTTTAATAAAATTTCTGAAATAAATGGAAGAAAATTTGATTTTTCAATCTGAAAAATCAAAGCAATGATCCAAGAACAGTCATTTTGAAGTAAATCTGTGTCTTCATTGATGATTTTAAGTACAGCATCTTTTAATGTTGATATCATTTGAGAATTTTCCTCTTTTATCCAAAATTTTTCGATGTCTTTATTGATAACTTGACCATTTTTCTTATTTAAAGCGCGACCTAAGATAATTCCTGCTGCGTGTCTCGTATTATATTGGATTGGTTCATTCATTAATACAATAGTCGCCGCATTAAAGAGATTTAAATCAAATTCTGAAATCATCTGGTCAATTGAATTGCATGCTTGCGCTGATACTTCTGGGTTCTCGCTGATAATACTTGAAAATAAATCAATCCATTCTTCCATTTGTCACTTTTTGCGCACAAATGTTTCAAACTATAGTCATCTCAAAATCGCAGTTGAATAGCAATTCAATTTTTTGAGAGAAAAAACGTGCATGAAATGCAATATGATTTAATTATATTGATAATTCAAAATAAACATTTTGAATATTGAATAAATGTAAATATCTAATTTTGTTAGTCCTGTCTTTATCATAAATTTATAACAGTATGCATCATGGATTGTTTGGTTTTATTAAAAATTTGCAATTTGGTTCACATTTTTAATCATGAATATTTTGAAACTCAAAATCAAGACATTTTAATGAATTTTGATATATTACAGTTAGTTTCTGCATCAATTCTGATGAAACAATGCAATTTCAATTTTCTGAACAAAAAATGCTCGTTTATTATTTTCGTTGTATGATGGATAAATGAATTAACAAGCCGAAAAGCAATCCCAAACTAGCAGAAAATGGATACTTTTCCATTTGCGTTAAAAGGTCAAGTAGAATTTCTTAATTCGCCATCAAATTCAAATCATTTCCTGCTGGATGTTTCCATTATTTGTATAGTCACATTGTTTTGGAACTACAAATCTGAATTTCTAGTAACAAAGCTCAAAACTCTTCCAAATCAAAATTTTATTTTGGATTTTTTTCCAAATTACAAAATTTCATTTCGAAAAGAGGATACTACATGGAAGTTAGTATGTATTCCTTAATTTCGACCCAAAATCAATTGGATTTAATTGATTATTCCTATCGTCTTTTTTTCCAAAAAACATTTTATTATTATTCTTTGTCTTGTATATAGATAGTAAAAATCTTCGTCTTAAAACTTTTCTTAATCTCATAGAAAAAAAGCCCTCAAATTAAGCGTCCAGAGCCTTGTCCTCTCAATCAAAATTAGAGTAGTGAGGTTTACAAATCCCAATTCAATACACAGAGGTTTACATTTTATATTGAGGGGCCCTCACTACTAAGATTTTGGGAGCACTATATATTTTTCATCAAATAAATGCGACAAGCATTCTATTTATGGCTTCATAAGCTTCGAAGTGATTTCATTGTTAAGTTATTTTTAAGAACGGCTCTTCATGTGACCATGATTCAGTTAAATTTGTAAATTTATATAACTTTTGATACTTTCCATTGAAAAATCTTAAGTTTGGCATATGAGCTGATAAAATTGTATTGTTATTCTTTTACTTTTACTATAAATTAATATGAAGAATAGTAATGGTGCTTTATATCAAAATAACTATTCTCTTCTCGAATGATGGATTTCTTAAGGGGTTTGAACCTTATGGCATTACACATGAGGTCACAAGTATATTACCAAAATCTCAATGGGCATGTTAATTAAGCAGGTTGGCTAATAAATTAATTTCCTTTACTAACACCAAAGTTTTTTTTTTATACAAAAATGTCAGGCTCAGAGAAACAAACAAATGAAATTGAATGCAATTTTATGGATCTTAAGCCAATTGAAGTATTAAAATACCCTAGCCAAGCTTCACACATTATTTGGTACCTCGACTCCAATTATATTTTACAAGAATCAACCAAAATTGTAGATTTTATTAATGAAAACAAAATATCCGTCCAAATGGCAATTTACTTGATTGATATTTTTTCACAAATTCGAGTTAAAGATATTAAATTATTTACAGAATTTTATCAAATGATATCTAACGAATTCTCATACATAACCAAACCGAAAAATGAGAAATTAGCAACGCTATTATATTATAATGGTTTCGAATTTGAAAACTTCGAACCTAAAATGGAAGAAGAAGACATTCTCAATTTAATTTCAACAGAATTTCCATTCTACAATTCTGAATGGGATGAAATTGATGATCATAAATGTAAATCCCTAAATCTTGATTTTATTCTGAAAGAAGAAAAAATTCTCAATTTATATTCTACAGAATCTCCATTATACTATATTGCATGGGATAAAGTTGATGATCTTAAATGCAAATTCCCAAATCTTAATTTTGATAAGGAAATTGATGGCGAATTCACTCCACTTGATTGCGCTATTTTTTATGGATCAGAATTGTGTTTCAATTACTTGAAAAATTTAGGAGCTAAGTACACCGATAACTCCGAAAAATATGCTGTTCAAGGCGGAAATACAAACATTTTTATGCAAATGATAGAAGATGGTAAATCATTCGATAACATGATTAATACAGCATTGGCTTATCGACACTTTGAGATTGCAGAGTACCTTAAATCAAATTTTGGACAATCTCCAAACTCAATTGCAGAAAGCATGTATTATGGAAATTTTGATATTGCATCTTATCTACTTTCTAATGGAGCAAATATCAACGATGTTTACATTCTCTTTCTTTTTATATTTGTTATTGTTTTATGGAATTTTATTTCTTTTCAAATTTATCGTTGTTTGATAATATTCTCTCTATATTAATGAATGTCCACTTAGTATTGCAATCAAAATGAATTCAATAGAAATTGTCAAACTCTTAGTCGAATATGGTGCGGATGTCAGCATGAAACTGATTCATTTCCATTTCATATTTTTCATTGTTCTATAGTATTATCTTTATTTTTATATAACTCATTGTTTTATGACATTATCTTTCTTTTAGTATTTATCATTGTTTTATGAAATTATCTTTCTTTTCATATTTATCATTGTTTTATGAAATTCTCTTTTTCTTCATATTTATCATTGTTTTATGAAATTCTCTTTTTCTTCATATTTATCATTATTTTATCACATTATCTTTCTTTTCATATTTATCACTCTTTTATAGAATTCTTTTTCTTATGATATTTATCATTTTTTTATTACATTGTTTTTCTTATCATATATATCATTCGTTTTATGAAATTCTCTTTCTTTTCATATCTATCATTGTTTTATCAAATTTTATTTCATTCAATATATATCTTTGCTTTATGGCATTTTCTTTCTTTTTACATCTTACATTGATTTATTACATTCTCTTTCTTTTCATATTTATCGTTGTTATATTGGATTTTCAATCTATTCATATTTATCTTGGCTTTATAGAGTTCTCTTTCTTTTATTATTGATAATTGTTTTATATAATTTTCCTTCTTTTCATTTTTGCCATTTTTTAATACAACTCTCTTTCTTATCATATTTATCATTAATTTGTTTTATTCTGTATATATTAATGAGTGTCCTCTTAGTATTGCAATCAAAGCGAATTCAATAGAAATTGTCAAACTCTTAGTTGAGAATAGTGCAGATGTTAACATGAAACTTATTTTCTTTCTTTTCACATTTATAATTATTTAGTGACATTTTCTTTATTTTCATGTTTATTATTGTTTTATAATATTCTCCTTCATTTCATATCTATTTATGTATTATATACTTCTCTCTCTTTTCAGACTTATCATTTTTTGATAAAATTATCTATTTTTTCACATTTATCATTATTCTATAGAGTTATTTTTCTTTTCGCGTTTATCATTGTTTTATAGTATTACTTTTCTTTTCATATCTATCATTATTTTATGCAATTATGTTTCTTTTAATATATATCATTGTTTGAGATCATTCTTTTTCTCTTCAGATTTATCACTATTTAATGATGTTTTCTTTTTTATCATATTTATTATTGTTTTATAGTATTATCTTTCTTTTCATATTATTCATGGTTCTATAATATTATCTTTATTTTCATACAACCTATTATTGTTTTATGAAATACGCTATCTTTTCATACATATCATTATTATATGAAATTCTTTCGATATTAATGAATGCCCTCTTACTATTGCAATCAAAGCGAATTCAATAGAAATTGTCAAACTCTTAGTTGAACACGGTGCAGATGTTAACATGAAACTTATTTTCTTTCTTTTCACATTTATCTTTGCTTTCTGTAATTCTTGATATTTTCGTATCAATCATTGTTTTATAATATCATCTTTCTTTTAATAATTATCATTGTTTTATACAGTTCTCTTTCGTGTCAAGTTTACTCTTGAATTAAAGAGATATCTTTCTTTTCATATTTATCATTATTTCACAAAACTCTCAATCTTTTCATTTTGATCATTATTTTATAAAATTCTCAATCTTTTTTATATAATTATCTTTATTTTAATATTCATCATTATGATATGAAATTCTCTTGATTCTAATTATCGTCCTCTTAGTATTGCATTCAAGGCAAATTTGACAAAAATTGCCGCCTTTTTAGTGAAACATGGTGCTAAGTGACTACCGATGTCTACTAGTATGATTCTGTGTTAAAAAAGATAGAGTGATCTCTAACTTAAATAAGAATAAATTTAATCATTGCTAACCCAAATTTTGTTTGAGCCCACTTGTGTATTTGCTTCGACAATAACGATAGAGAGATTAATTAATCTAAATTCACATTTCACTTCTCTAGAATATATTTGTAGATCAGAATGTGTAACTTTGAAATCATATACTTTATGTCTAAATTTCAAAATCCGAGTGAATTGTAATGTTTACACACGAAAAATATGATTTCAAATTTACATATCCATAATTTCTTATAATACACATTTACTTTTACTATAAAATATAACAAAAAAAGTTCTATTTAAATCTATCGGGATAAATTCTTTCATCAAGTTCTCTCCTCAAAGCATTGTGGTAATCATTTAAAGTTCCCTTTGAATCTGCAGGTGATGATGCCCTTGGCAAGCTCTTTTCCACTTTCAAATAAGTAGGTTCTTTTAAGTACTTTCCCAACAATCTATTAAACAAGTCTGTTATTGGCTGTGCCTCTTCACTGCATGAGAAAGCTGGATGAACGTATATATGAGATTGTGCTTCCTTGTACTTCTTGATCATCTCAGCATAAGGAATTACAAGATCTAAAACTGCTTGTGTGGCCTTTGGATATTCCAAGTTTTGGACGGATAATGGAATAACTTGGATGCAATCAATAGTTCCGAACACAAAGATAACATAGTTAAAGTTCTGCAGTATTCCTTTGATCTGTTGGTTATACGATCTATGTATTCCCTTGTTAGTGTCTCCTTTCTTGAGATGTTTGATTGATAATCCTGGGAACGCGAAAAACTCTGCTTTTAATGATCTTTTGTCATCATCTTGGATGTTAGGAATTGGTCCTGCCGCGTATACGTATTCATCACCAACAAAAGCGATCCTTGTATCAGAAGGACGACTTGAACCAGGAGGAGGTTGGTCGCAAGCAAAGTACAGTTTCCTGATATATCCAAATCCTGGCATAGTTCGCAAAGGTGATGAATAACAACGGATTTTTAATCGAATGTCATTTGACATCGAATAATTTCCGAAAGAATATAGGAAAACAGTGATCAACATCAGTAGTTTGAGGTAAGGAATGTGCGAAGGAAGGATTGTACTAAATGATTGTCTCGTTGTTGTCTTTGGCATTATTTTATAATCAGCATTTGCAAAGATTTGCATTAAATCTTTGAAATTTATACCTGGAATCAGCTCAGTTTGGTTAGAAATGATGAAACTCTTCAATATATCAAAGAACTGTGACTTATTATGTAAAATATGGAATATTTTAAGTAATTGATAACAAATTTCAATTTGTGGCTTCTTATGATAGGCTTCTCTAAGGAATGTGACCGCGCAATTAATATTACCCTTTTTAAATAGTGTTTTGCCGATGTCTGCAAGAGCTTTAGGTGAAAAAATGGTTTGCGAACTTGAATCTTTTGATGAAAAAACTTTTTCAAACACATTGGCGACTCCACCATCAAGATCGCATATCCGGGCAAGATATTTGTAACTTTGTGGACTCCGAAATGCCATGATGGCAGCTGTTGATGGATCTTTTAACGCAATTTGTAATTCACACTCTAATTTACAGACAACGGAATGAGATTCGTTGATTGATTTCAACTCATTGATACATTCTTGTGCACGGGAATACATGTGGCGAGATAAGAGTATTCTCGCAAATTCGCTAAGAAAATTGAATTTATTTACGCCATGAAGTTGACGAATGTACTTGAAAGCATCGTCTGTGAATCTAAGGAACCTAGCTTCGTCTTTCTCATATGCAATTTTCATGATTTGTACTTCAAAATTGTTTGGATATAATTCAACAAGGCGAGGAAGTAAATTTTCGACTGGTTCTTTAAGATTTCTGATATAGTAAAGTCTGGCTAAGTCTAAATATCCATATTCGTCTGCTGCAATAAAGAAATCTCGAGCATCAATATAAAAACCTTTTTCTTCAAAATATCTACCTTTTGTAATGAATGATAATGCTTGTTCTCCACTCAATTTTTCCCTTTTTATTATTGGAAGAGAATCTTTTACTTGAACTAAAATTTCTGTCGTTGAATTGAGAGGTTCTTTAATTTGTCTTTTGAGATCGTCAATAATTTCTTTTTCTGTTGAAAATGGCAAGAAATTGAACACGCAAACCTGATCAATTGTGTAATCTTGATTTGTAAATTCTTTTAAACTGCAAAGAAACTTAGATATAATGTCAATATATCTAATTCTTTGAGCTTCTGTAACATTATATGCCACCCACCAATTCTTGTCTCCTTCAAAAAAGACTAAAATCTGGGACGTCATTTGTCACCTTTTTTCAACAATCTCTCTATTCAAATCATTTTCATTCCAAACTTCACTCTTCAAAAATCATTTATTTATCTCATGTTACATCAAAAGCATCAAATTATAGGCATTTTCTTGGATTATTGCTTTAAAGGATCTTAATTACAAAATACTAAAAGATAAAGCTGCTATTCATTGCGAAATATCTAAAATATATATTCAAATGGTAACATATTATGTCAAATTAACTTTTATTTTGGTTTTATCAACTAAAGTATATATTCTAAAGTCGTTGTAAGAAAATGTGTTATGTGTAAAAACAGCTAAATAAACAATATTTTATTCTAACAAAAAAAAATAACATTAATTTTAGTCATCACTATAATCTTCGTATTCTGTTTCTTCCTCGTAATATTCCTCTTCCTCTTCTTCTTCAACTAGAGGAACACCGCCCAATCCAAGTGTCTCTGCAACTTTGTTGAAGTGTTTTGCAGCTCCTGCATGTGTGTATCTGCATTTATCAGAGAGTTGTCTGTACATCTTCATGACTGTGTCAAATGATGCTTTGACGTCACTAAACGCGTCAGTCCAGAATCCGCAAAACGAATCACAAAGCAAAGAATACTGGAGTGTCTTTGCTTCAAGAGATCTTGCATCCAATCTTGTGATCTTTGTGTCTTTGACAGCACTCCATTTGTCTTGGATTTCGGAAAACAAAACATTTAATTCGTTGAGAACTCTCATCTTCAAATTGTTGCATTCCCTGTTGTAGTAGTTAATGATTGAGTCTACAGCACCAGAGAATGAAACTATGAAATCACTCATGCCTTCAGGAGCGTTCTTTGCCTTATGGAAAATGTTCTTTGGTCGTTTTGACATGTCTTCTCTTGATTTTTGCAAATTATGCAAAAGAATCTCGAGTTTGTCAATGTTTCTGAGGTCATCGAACTTGGAAGCTTCATTGAGTTTGGTCATCATTGTTGTGAAGAATGTTTGCTGATGACTAATTTCGTTTTCAAAGAAATTAAATGCATCAGTTATTGAATCTAAAGCTTCTGACCTATCATCTGTGAAATCTTGGTATCTCTCGAGAACTTCGAATGGATTCTCGATGGTATACTCGTAGTTTGGATCAGCTTCGAGGATAATATCCGACCAAATTTTTTCCAAATTCTGGAAAAAGGCAGATTTGATGGCATTCAATGTATTTGAGAACCATTGAGTAAATTCCGCTTTAGTTGGTGTAATCGTAATCAGTCCACTCACTTCATTGAATTCGGCAACAATTTTGTGAGGTTTACGACGGTTTTTTGGTTCAGCGAGGAAACGGTCCAAATAACCCATAAGCATTTCCTTACACTTTAGGATGAGAATTCCGTTGTAGTTGATTCTAACTTTGGAGAAGAATGTTGATAAAAACACCTGTCTGTCTCTTGCAAGTTTCCTTTCGTAATTCAACATATTTTCTCTCATTTTTTCTCTCCATAATGAAGGAACTCTCCACTTAAGGTCACTAGAAAACTGTTTTAATGAGGGAGGTAACTGATTTAATGAGTTAAGTTCATCAAAACCCAGTTGGATTAATACATTTGCCGCTCTAATTATACGGAATGACTCTGATATCTGCATGCCGACCTCTTCTTTGAGTTGCTGAATCTTTCTATCTATGTCAAATATTGATTGGTTGGCAACTTGCTGAAGAGATTTGAATGATGCTTCATCATTACCGATATCGAACTGTCCTGGATATACAACTGCATCGTTTGTTGCTAGGAAAACATCTTGGCGTATCTTATCCATCGCTTTTTGGAAGATTGGTATTGAAATTGCGAAATGTTGATCAAAAGTCGCGATTTTCTTATCGAAAATGACTTCCCTGAGTCTCATTCTCCAATGATAGAATGATCTGTATGCCATGCGTTTGCTAATCATTTGATTTTCGACAATTACTGTGTTTTCATTATCAAGAATAAATTGATCGACATCTTGAACGGTTCCACCTGTCTTATCGATCTTAACTACACCTGTTGATGTAAGAACTGTAAATTTATCGCCAATTAAATGCTCTGGATACGATGGAGGAATGATATGATATTCGTGTGATTCTTCTGATACTTTTTTACCGATATAGAATTGAGGATCGCGTGATACGTATAAATGTGGAAGAATTGAGTCTTCTTTCTGTTCAAGAGGTGGTAAAGGTTGTAAATATGGAATTATTGAATTTCTTTTTGATGTTCTTGATGTAATAAGTGTTTTAGCGTTTGGAATTGGTCTGGATGTTTTAGGAACTGTAATTTGTGTAACCTCAAGGTCATCTACGCAATCAATTTTTTGTAAATTAAGTCTCGGAACAACAGTTGAGCTATAATCTGAAGATTGTGGTCTGTTTCCACGTGGCGCACGTGCTGAAAGTGATTTCGTTGGTTCTTTCGGATTTAATAAATTAGTTTGAAGATTTAAAGTTGGAACATAATCTTGAGGAGACAAACCATTGATAGTAGAAGTAAGAAAAGATAGTAATACACCATCTTGAACACCAACTAAACGCGGAATATACTTCCTAAGCCGTGGTGTAATATCAATCATTTGCTTAGCATTGATTAATTTCGAAAAAAAGGTCATGATATCTTTCAAGGAGTCATTTGATTGTTTAGCATCAAAATATTGACGGCACAGATCAACAAGCTCCTTCTCTGACATATGAATTTATTAACGGATCTTCAAAAATCTTTGTAAAGTGTCAAAAAAGAGTTATGTTTACATTTGTCAAAAAAAATGATTGTATCAATACTTTTCATTTGTTTAGGATTGATTTCATATCCAATACGATTTTTACATAGCATCTCACTCAAAAACAAAAATGGCTTCTCAACACTCCTACAAAACAAACAAATTATTTACGATTCTCTAAATGGGTATAACAATTCCATCACACCTTTTTCTGGATTCTTGGATACACGTTCAACATCAATTACTGTCACTATTGTTTATTCCATGGTCATAATCCTCACAACTTCAATATTCTGCATTCTATATCTCATTTTAGTGAGACGTCCATGTAAGAAACGAGAGCCCGAAGATATTATTGATCAGGCATTAACAACATTCGTTTAAAAATTTTGGATTTCTTAAATTCCTCAAGCGTATTATCAACAGAATAACTCCCATTTTCTTCGAAAAAAATCACTATCGATGAAGCATTTACAAATCCTTTAAAGCAGCTCTCAGATTCTGAACGTTAGAATTCTATCAAATAAGAAATACTTTGGATCTACGTCCATAATGAAAATTGGCTTTATCTGAAAGAGACTGATCTCTTACTTCTTGATTTTCCCTTATCCACTTAATTCTATTCAAAATTTGGATAAATTTTTAAAAGTATACTTCCATTTGCTATGAACATGTAGCTTTATTACCAGAATGATGATTATGACAACTCCAATCCTATATATTTTGATCTCATCGAAAATAAAAATTTAATTTCTTTTTTTCAAATTCTTTTCTAGAATACAAACATTTTATTTTTATTAGAGATAAATTACAATTCATTCATAATTAAAATTTCAATATAAAATTTCATATAAACTGTATAATTAGAATTTCCTTAGTAAACATCACTATCATCAGATGGCTGATCGCTAAAGTCATCATCATCAATGCATTCTCCATCTGGATAATCAATGCCTTCATTTTCAAATGGTGCATCTGAATCCTCTTCAGCACCTTCGTCTGAGAAATCATCTGATTCGTCGAATTTTCTGTCATGAACATAATCTGGATCAATAATGTGCTTATTCAATTTTTTGAAGTAGTCTCCTCTCATTTCTTCTTCCTCTTCTTCGTATCTGTCTATAATAGGTTTGAAAATACGATCAAATTCATCATCTTGCTGTGGATTCTCCTGTTGTTGTTGTTGAGGTTCCTGAATTTCTTCTGGAACAAACTCTTCTTGTTGTGTATTTTCTGGATGATGATAATAGCCATATGCTAAAGGTACTGGTCTGTCTTGTGAGAGCTGTGGACTAAAATCGGTATCATTTTCCATCGCATCATTAGTTAGATTTTTCATGAACTCGCTTTCGTCTTCATCATTGTTAACAGGATCATAAATTCTGGGTCGCTTGTTAAATCCTTGTCTAGGATTTGCTTGACCACTCATCAAAATTTTGACATTTTCCGATGTAAATTGTTCACAACTTTGATGGGAAGCACTCGCCCAATCCGCCTTCAAAATCAACTGATTTCATCTAAGCATAATGGCTGATGTGTAATTCAACATTTTTGAAGAGTTTTGCAAAATTCAAATTCGATTTTTGATTCAAATAGTCCTAAAAACATGCTCATTATTAGATAATGTAGGAATATGTTCCTTTGATTTTGATATTTGGCATTACATAAACTAAATTAATGATTTCATTTTTTATTAGCGTTAGAGTGTCTGTTTTTAAAGATGAATACATTAGAAATTGCCCAATAAGATATAACTGAAAGAATGGAAAGCGGGTGTTAACACATTGTATTCATCAACCTAAGATATTGCTCAAACATAGATCATTTATAAGAAGAAAAGGTGGTATTCCTTTTAAATATTAAGAATTATTAGAATTAGCTTCAAGTAAAATATTTTCTATTTCTTTGAATTTAATAATACTAGTAAATTAGAAACTCATAATTTTTATTTACTGTACGATCTTTACAAGCTGGTTCTGGAGGCGATCGAAGCCGGATGCAAGAGCATCGACCATATCCTTGGAAAGATCCATGGATAAACTCTGAAGTGGTGGGAGCAAACATTTTCCAGAAGAAGCTGGCTGTATTCTCATTGTAATAGATGCAATGGGTCTGGCAATACGACCGAGAGACTCTGTTGCAACTTGCATTGAAGTATTCCAATCGTGATAGAGAACTTTAGATAATGATGGAGAGTGCTCACTGCAAAATGAAATGCATTTATCTCTAATTGAAAGTGAAATTGTTGCTAATTTCTTTGTTGTTTCGCTATTTAATTCCTTAATAACAGGTATTATTTCTTCTTCTGATTTTGGCTCTTCGTTGATAATTTTATCTAAAACTGGGCAGATTAATTCCAAAACATGTAATGTTTCTGATGTTGTAATTGAAAGGCTCTCTGTAAGTTGTGCTGGAAGATCTTGAACATCTCCTACACGCCATGCGAGAACTCGGAGAATTAAATTCTTCAAGGCATTCTTATCAAAACTCTCAATCGCAGTCATTTTTCACTGAAGTTTACAAAAAATAAATTGACAAATGAATAATTCGGTTTTGAACAGTATGTTATGAGTTGTTTTGAATAATTTTGTAATTTCCCGTATTTTTACCTATAAAGTTTCCATTTTTCTATAATGTGGCGATTGATTCATCGCCTTTTTAATGGAAAAATCAAAAGATTATTCATTATCAGTTGTATGTGTACATCATTATCACTGATATTTGTTGTCGCAGCTTTTAAATTTGGAAGAGTCCCCGTTATTTTAGATTTATCGAAATGTAAAATCTGTTCTGATGTTAAAAATGCATACGGCAACTCTCAACCAGAAGACCTTATACTATTAGGTGTTTTCGGAGATATCAGCAGAGTTTTTACATTTGTTAAATCATTACGAGCTGTTGGCAGCCTCGCACACGTTGTAATTATATCGAATACTACATTTAATGAACATGTACGGAAATCTCTTGGTTATTGTGGAGTTGAATTTTTCACAATGAAATCACCGCCAAATACATCACGACACTATCCGCATTCACTCCGATACATTGGTTACATGCAATACTTGAAGTCCACATCAAGAACTTTTAATAGAATATTCCATTCTGATGCATTTGATGTATTTTTCCAATCAGATCCGTTTTCGGAACAAATTTCACCTGACTACTTATATTTCGTTATGGAAGACGTCAAGATTCGTGATTCATCTTGGAACGTTGGTTGGATGAAAAGAGCATATAATCAGTCCATTGCCGAAGCCTACGGATCAGATATAGTTTCTTGTTCAGGAACTATTATAGGAGGAGCCCAGCAGTTTAAGATTTACTTGAAAACCTTACTTGATCATAAACCATTTTGGATGAACGGAAGGCACTCTTTAGACCAAGCATACCACAATTATTTGTTGCATAGTGGAGAATTTGAAAGGAATGGAATAAAGCGAAAAGAATTCGGCTGTAATTCTCCTTTTTTAACTCTTCATTACTGCTCAAGATGGGGAAAGTATGTTGAAAAGAGTGATGGTATCTATTGCCCTGATGGTTTAACAAAGCCTGCTGTTATTCATCAATATAATATTAACCAAGAAGCTGGAGAGTACATTTCTAATCATTGTAATTGATTTTGTTTGTATTTTTAAATAGAGTTTGTATTTAACTTTTCGTGAATATGCATAAAATTCTGAAATCGTGCACAACATTTGGTTTCAAATGCAATGTTTTGAAGTTAAATAGCATAAATTGAATATTATATGTTCTCAGCAAAATATATTCTTAGTGTTGTATGAGATACAGTTAATATATTTAAAAATTAATCTTTAATTCTGTAAATCTGTTTATCTTTTTAAAATATATTTAATATATGAATAAAATAAATTCGATTCATCGATTAATTTTTTCGTTAAATTTCCAAATTTTTTATGAAATAGAAATTTTGAAAAGAAAAAATGCTAATTCTTCAATTGAAAATTTCATTTTTGAAATTATTTTGGAAATTTGCTTCCTTGTAAATATGCATGTCGTATGATGTAAAAAGTGGATCCATATTTATAATACCTAAATTCGATAATAAATTAATAATTTTGAAAAAAATGACAGAACTAAGGACTAATTTTGAAAAAACACTAACCTTTATCTTATGTACTTGATAAATGCATGAAATCTGCGATAAAATCATTTTATTTTCAATTCATGTCTAAATATCGTCCAGTACTTCGAGCACCAAAAGTTCCTAAATCTAATAATATTGAAGATGTCTTAAAATTTATTCAAGAGCAGAAGGAGAAACCATCAGAGGCTGCAGCAGCCGCTAAAAAACTCACAAAAATCTCGAATGATGTCAAAAATCGAGAGAAAAAAGCTACTCAAGTGAAAGCATTCATGATAGAATTCCGTAAAGTAATGAAAGGTGCAGAAACAGGCAAACAATTATGTACTTCAACACTGATAGATTTATCTGGTACCCTTCCAGAACTACCAGAATTACTTAAATTTGATGCTTCTCTTCAAAACAAAACAAATCAAGACGTAATGTCATGTATTTCTTATTTAGAAAGATTACAATCTTTACTAACTCGCGATAAAAACGTTCCAAACAATCAGATGTATAAAAGTATACATGATGAATTTGAACAGCATTTAGAATGCCTCTATCTTCCTGAAGAATACGATCAAATTGTCGAAATAGTTGAAAAAACGAAATTACAACCTATCGAAAAGCAAAAAATCGACTTAAGCGGACTTAACGATGAATGGAAACAGTCAATTACTGATCAAATTGATGCTTTTAATAAGATTGAAGATGAATTAAAGAAAAAACATCGCGATTGGCTCGTTGAAAATGGATTTAACCCAGACGAACAATTTGGTGGCTGGGAGGATCTTGAACATCAGCGCTTTATTCTTACAAATTGCGGTGAAATTACTGTTGAATTTAATAATAAATCACCAGAAGAACTTATTCGCCACAAGAAATGGTACATCAAGGAGCAATTCCTTAACAAGAAGATCGATGCTTTACATCAGGAGCTCAAAACTCGTATTGCAAAGATGAAATTAGATGCACAAGAAGAAGAAAGACAAAAGGAAGAACAGAGGTTGAAAGATGAAATGGTTAGACAAAGAGTGGAAGCAATGAATGAAGAAAAGTCAGTTCTAGATGAGCGATTGAAAGTAGAAAGGGAAGAAAAAAGAAAAAGAGACTTAGAAAAACAAGAACAAGAGGAAATTGAAAGACAAAAGAAGGAGGAAGAAGAAAGGAAGCAGAAACAGCTTTATAATGAAGAAAAAATGCAGCTTAAAAATAGAGTTAATGCAGAAAAAGAAAGAAGAAAAGAAATTGAAGATCGAATTCAAAGAAACAGAGAAATTGAAGCAGAAAGACAGAAAGCAGAGCTAAAAGAAAGAAGAAAGGAAATGAAAGTTGTTGTAAGTGGAAGAAGACAAATTGAGGAAATTCGAAAGAGAGAAAGACAAGCAAAGGACAGAGAACGATACCAGCAGAAGTTAGAGCAACAGAAGAGACTAGAAATGCTTGCACAACAGGTTAGAGATGAGTTTGGTTTAGATGATTTAGTTGCTGATCCAGAAAAGCCTACAAAGATCATGGAAATTAGAAGAAATGCAGAGAAAGAAGAAAAACCAATGTTCAATCCAACATCATTCGCTTCTTCTGTTATTGAAATGGATCCAAGAATTAGAATTGAAAATGCTTTGAGAGAAGCAGGTTTAATGAACTCACCATATGCACAAAATGTTATCACTCAAATGTCTGCACTCCGTCCGGCTCCTGGTATGGAGTCTCATATCAAATTCTAATAAAAATTTTGTTATTTTCGTTTTTAATCTCTTACTCTAAGATTATTAACAAGAATTACGGAAAATAATTCATAGACATTCGAAAAAAATAGAGATTTATTACGTTGCAACATTTTTCATCGTAAAATCAGCCTTGCTAAAGGTATACATAAACACTTGGACCAAGAAAATATGATTAGATTACCGTTAGTTCAAATTCGTGTTAAATTAAATTTAATAAATATTTTTTTTATTAAATAACATTCAGATACATGTAGATCCGCTTTTCTCTATATAATTTATAATAATGCGACATTAACTTCCCTACTAAAACCACTTAGTTTGGAAGTTTTTTTAGTAAAGATTTTTGTCAATAAGAATTTGTTTTCCGATTGTATTAATAAGCTTAGATATGGAACACTCATCCATAGCGCATGTAAATATCGGGAATATTTTGTTTCTTCTTTGAGGAGGTGCAGCGTTTAAAAATACTGTCTTAACATACTCCAAGCATTCATCAATATTATTGACATCACCGTTGAATTCAGGGAAAGATGTCTTGAATCTATCAGGACATTTCTTTAATTTAGTTTCGAATAGATCTTTCTTGTTAAATACAAGGAAAATCGGTAATTCAGTAAGAAGAGGCTTGCTAAGGATCATGTCCCATATGGCGAGTGAGTCTGCAACTCTACTTGTGACTTTATCTTCGAATAAAACTTGATCGAATTCAGAAAGGGCTTGTACAAATATAATATAGTTAAGATGGCTGAAACATGACTCCCAATGCTTTCGTTCGTTCTTTTGACCACCAATATCAACTAATTGTAATTTTACCTTTTCGACCATCAATTTAAGATCTGAGTTACCTGTAGTTCTAATTCTTGCCTTAAGGATATCTAAATCTGATGGGACATAGTTGGACTCGGCGATTTGAGAAATATTATTTAAGAAATAGTCGAAATTTTCGGCAATTCCGACAGAATTTGATTCTTCATATATTCTTTTCATTGAAGGGTCTTCCCAGACGCGCGAAATTAATTGGGAAATCGGATGATCAATGGGGTCGGTATCTTCGAGTGCCTTAATTTGATCCATAATATCATCTAACTCATTTGGATATGAATATGAACTTTTTCTCAAATCATCTATTAGTAATTTGAAATCCGAAATGATTGCAATGCTAATTACGTTCTTAAAGTGATGCCTGTCTGAGTTGGTAAAGCCTCCACAGTACAAGCGTTTAAGCTGTCTGGAAATTGTTGATTTGCCAGACTCACCGGCGCCTAATAAAATTGCTTTTACGTCAGGTTTTTCAAAATTACCTTTTTCGAACTTAATATCTGTTTCAACAGGTAATTTGACCGATGAGTGTGTCGATTCGGGAGGCTCAGGAGCAATTTTATTGGATGGTTTGCTTGCTCCACAACCCATATTTTTTTGTTCTTCAGAAACATTCAATTTTTTGTCTGTTATTTTGATACATTTTTTTCGCGGCCGAAAATTTGAAATTTCAATAAAAACATTATTCTGGAAAACATCATATTAGATTTACATGGCTGTAATTTTCTACAAATAATTCAATGAGATGACTCAAAATATTACACACCATTTTTAATCTTATTCTGATATATTATATTACTATCTGAGCCAAATTTTTCAATTTTTTCTAAATTAGTCGTTTTGTTCAACTCGAAAGTTCTCATCTCACAATTTTGTGAATTCTGAAGGTAATCGTTATCGTGATAATTTATAAAAATCAATCTTTTTACTTCATACGGTTTATATTTTAATAAATTACCTCTAGGTTTAGAACGAGTAGTTTCTAATAATATTAATTCTAAATCGACAACCTTGAAAAACAGAAAAAGATCAAGAAAATCTAAATGACATTCAAAAACAGTAATACAATATGTAGATGCGACATTTAGCTTTTAGTCAGTTTGTTTTATGCATACTCGTTTGTAGATCAGGATCCAGAGATTTCAAAATTTCATATTTGGAGTTTGTTTGACTCATTTCCATTTTTTTTACATATGGGATTGATAAATGTTAAAATATTATACTTTTGAATAATATTTAAATTTGCTCACTGAATACGTCACTTTTTTTTGACTAAGTTTGGTTTATTCAGAGAGGCAAGTCCTCGAAGCCTCGGTACTTCAAAAATTTCATGGGATCTAGTTTTATTCAGAATAATCTTAGTATTCATGTTACAGCAGCTTTTCTTGCCAAATCATTCAAATTTCGCAGAAGTTGCATATTTGATAAAATTCTATTGAACAAGCGAAATAATATAGTTCTAACTAGTACCTACTATTCATTGCAAATTATAATTAATATAAAATACCGCCTTTTTTTACACTCACATTTTTTTTTTGAATTTATAGTTTAATTACATAACTGTACCTATCATGTATTTTATTGGGTTTGTGGTTGTGAGAGCTTTTCCATAATTACTAATGAGATTGCCTAAATATGAAACACCGTTCCATGGAATATAGATTTTGAGTCTTCAACAAATAAAAATTCTCAATCAAGCAAATCATTTTTCTGATCCATTTTTATTATCTTATATCCGAACCACATTACGATTTGAAATTATTTTAGAAAAGGCGCCATTCTCAAATATCAAATACCTATAATGATGTCTATCATTCCTGTTTAACGCAAAGAAGTAATTTTAATCTAATTTTGATCGTTAGACATAATGAAGAGAAGATATATATATATATACAAGTGACTGTTAAACAACAATGTAGTAATGTTAATTTCTTATTGTGTTCAAGGCAATGTTTTAGGAATTGGATGAATGAAGATTTCATTACACTGATTCATTTGAGTATCTTTTACATTTTGTAATATTGCTAGAGTAGCAACAATTGAGTGGATCATATGTTTGAAAAATATACGTTGGTGACAATTGGAAATTAATTGGGGACAAAACTGCCATCGATTTTAATATCTTAGCAAATTCCAGCTTTTAGATAGATATGTGAAGTTATTTTAATAATGCCATCGAAATTTTCAATTAATTGCTAAAATTTCCCAAAATATAATTAAATCAGCATCAATTGTTATATATAATTTCGAAGTTTTAGTGATTGGAAGCCTGTCAAATCATTTATTCAAATGGTTTAAATTTTGAGAAATCGATTGATTATTTTTTGAATTAAAAAATTATATAAAATTTTAATAATCTGATTGGATTTGTTATAAACTTCAATATTTACGATTCGAAAATTCCAAAAATTTATCTTTAGCCACGTACAATTTTATTCAGTATAACTAGGATATTAAAATTACGAATATATCGCCCAATTGATTATTCTCAAAAATTAAATTATCCAAAATTGAATGCAATCATGGCTTTACGAAAAAACCCAATATTACGGAATATTACAGGACAAGCAAAAAGTGTGAGAAGTATTTTGGATAAAAATCAACATTGATGAATGATATAAAGTACCGATAAACTAGCCTTGTACTGCCATTTTATGGTGATGTAAAGTATTCAAAAAATTTGCAATGTAAACCATTACATGGCAGAAACTTTAAAATAAACAAAAACATGACACTTAGTACAGGGGCTTTTTGGCTGGTGAAGTCAGATAAAACGTGGCTCAGGTGCTCGTTTAAAATTAAAAATGGAATTTCTCACAGTCGAATTTCTTGGTAGACAACAAAAGTTTATCATCAATTGTCGCGCCGAAGGTATGACATATAGTCAAACTAAGCTTGCATGGGAGAAAGAATACCCAGATCTCGGAACTTTAACATCAATCTCATTGCTACTGCACTTAAAAGAGCTGCATTAGGTCTATACTGGGAAAAAGGGAATCATGGCGGTGCAGATCCATACCTATGCGAGCGTGATCAGCTCACTTTAAAAGAAATTATCGAAGATTCTGCTTACAAAGGTGAAGCTCTAGAAGCAGCTGACATTATTGACGAGGCGTTCAAGTTGAAAGAGCTCAGAATAGATTATGGTTACAGATTCCTTCTTGAGATTAATTGTCCTACTCTTGCAGAAGAAGTTATCAATGCCAACATCAAAGTACTCCAGAGGAGTTGATTTTTAGTATCGATGAAACATTCATAAACAAATTTAAGAAGAAGAAAGTTGCATTACCTGAGGAGATAGAGCATATGATCGCCAAAGGAATTCCAAACTTTCCGCACATTACAGCTTTATGCGGATGCTCAATGACAGGCAAATCTGTTCCACCTCTCTTTGTTCTCCCATGTATTGCAGAACTACCTAGAGAACTGAAAGTATTCCAGCGCGAAAGACATTGTTGGTTTACTTCTACGCCAAAAGGCTGGGTGAACAGAAGTGTATTCTTATTGTATTGCATTTTCTTCATCGAGTGGCTTAACTTTGAACGCCAGAGAATGCCAGAAGATATACGTGACAAGCCTGCTCTCATTGTGTGTGATGGACACTCCAGCCGCGAGAATCCTCTGGCATTGTTCCTTTTGGCAAGTGCCAACATCAAATTAATTGTTCTTCCCGCACATACAACACACATTTTACAAGTATTTGATGTTGGCATTGCCAAAAGATTAAAGTCCAAATTCACGGATTATCTGAGAGATTACATTAAGGCACCGAAGCAAGAGTTCAACAGCAATGCTGCAATGATGCGCTACGCCATTATCTACTCATTTATTAGCGCATGGCAAGAATCAGTATCATTAAGAACGGTTCGAAATGCTGCTGCCGCCTGCGGTCTTTGCCCTTGTTCTGTAGAAGCTCTCAAACATAATAAGTATGTTCGTGAATTGACTCCTGCAGAAAAAGAATTGCAAGAGAAAAGAAATTACCGTAATCGAAATCGTTTTAACATCAATGGTGAAGAATTGACGACGATGGACATGATTTGCGCAATTTCTGACAATATTAAGAAGAATCCTGCAAATCACAGATTTTGCAGGAAGCCAGAACAAGACACCAAGGAACGTTTCTACTTTTGGATTACAAACTATCTTGATCCCAGCACTGAGTTGTTGACAAAACTCCCTAATATGCCAGGTTATAGTCCAAATGATTAGGAAAATTTTCCAATTTTCCAACAAAAATTTTCCAATTCTCCACCAAAAATTTTTTAATAAAATATTATTTTACGGCATTGCCCGTCACTTTTTTTCGGTACAAGGCTAATATCACGGTATAACCCCCTGAAAAGACTTTAAAAATTCGAGAATTTGAGAGTAATCAAGCCATAAGCTTTCAATTTTTGAAAGCCCACATTTCTTGCATTCAATTTAGATAAAACTTCATTTTTCCACAATGCTCTCAGTTGTTTCGTCCTTCTCAAGATCAGTTGTTTCCAGCAACATCGGAGACTGCCACCAGTTCCATGTTGGTAGCTTGGCTAACAGTTAGTATACATATCTTGTGTACGGAGGCACTGCGAGCCTCCTTACCCATTATATGTGAATTTGACACTTTACAAAACCGTTAACGTATATTTTACAACACAAACACAAACACCAACTTAACCTTAAATATTTATAAAACCGCCAACCACTTCACCTCACTAACGTTTTCACAAACGACTTCACTACTGTAAAAAATAAACGTTCTCACTTACAAAAGTATTGCAACTCCTCCCATTGCTGTGCTTCACACAATACTTCATATTCTTCAGTATCGCTGCTGTCGCTCCAATCGTCAGAGTCAAAGTCACTGTCAAAATAAATGTTAGTAAGTTTTGACAAAGCTAATGAAACACGTTTACCGTTTGTATCGTATGCTTGTATAAACTTTCCATTCTTCATTCCTTCATAAACGCTCAAACTAACTTTACCCTTTCTCCCTCGTATCTGATAGAATGTATTTTCACGAGGAACGAAGAACAAATTCTTGAACTCATGACCGTTGTAGTTTGTTATCTCAATAGTTTTCGTCATTTATATAAAAATAAAATAAAAAAATAAACTTAAAAATAAATGATATCACCACCCTCACACGTATGAAAACATAGCACAAAAATAAATTTAGGTGAAGTGGTGAGATCTCACCTCTTTTTTCACCTGTTTTTTCACCCTGTTGAATTCATTGCTTTATAACTCTCTTCCTTTCTCCAACTCTTCTAGCTTCTTCTTAAGTTCAGCAATGTTGTCTTCATGAAGTTTAATCTTTCTCAAAATTCCTTCTTTATCTAATGGTTGCTTTATGTTTCTAAACTGAACTCTACCATCCTTCATAGTATGAATGTAAAAACCTTCTGGAATAGTTCCTGATTTAATGTATTCTACCAAAAACTTTTGTTTCATTGCTTCAGTGACTTTATTTGTCATTTCAATCAAATAAAAATTTTAATATTAAATAAAAAATAACGTTATTTTTTCAGTAAGGAAACGCAGGAGTTTTACGATTTATTTGAGGAGTAGGTTCTGGTTTAAATGTTGGAGTCGGTTTAGGAGTT